ACACAAATTTCCCAAATGCTAAGTTTATATCACAGTGTTGGTTAAGAGTCTTGGAACAAAGAAGGCTACTGAACTGGCTTCAAGTTTGACATGTTAAAGCTCTCTTAAATTCATTACTTCCCAGCAAAGTGTTGATCTGGGAGAGTTTGGTAGATTGCCCGCTCCTTGGGAAGGGAAATGAAGAATTGTGAAACTAAAATTCAGTGCCTCTAACAAGGTGTCAACAGCTGGGGGGTGTGCAGAAATGACACAAAATGGGCCTCTCAGTCACATACAGCTGTGTAACTGAGCCTGGTTATGCCTGGATTCAATTGCTAATGGCATTATGAATACTGTTGTGTAAGTCTAATGGAGGAAGATATACTGAGTCCAGTTTCTGAAGGTGTTTTTCTTTATGCCACATCTGTACTAATAAGCTTCCAAGCAGCTGGATTGTTTCTGTCTATAACTGGAAAATGGAAATAAATCCAACAAGTCACTTGCATTTTGGAAAGGCTAAAAATTACCCATTCTTTTCAAATTCTATCAGCTTGGCCATGTATACTTGTTTGCCTGTGCTGCAGATTTCTTTATAAGGACAAAGTAGCAGATGTGAATGAAAGTTCATCTCTTTATTTAATCCACTCTCTTCACTTGTAGGGTCCCTAAAGGTAAAATAGCCAGTATATGAAATGTGGTATTCATGCTCTTCTGGATGTCCCACTCACTCATAAACTGCTCTTAAAAGAATCCAGAGAAAAGAAATTTTAATGGTCTAGCATTTCTCCCACTATATCACACCACTTCTTCTTACATATGGAATTTTTAAAAATGAACTATTTAGGACAATCCTTGGCTTTCAAGTCCACACTCTAAAAATCACCTGGTTTAGGCTGAAATTTCAGGAAGGCAAACAGGCAGCTCTTTGTCCATGCCCATGAGCCATCACAGCTGTTAATTCTTTTATGCTTAGGGCTTCTGCAACATTAGAATTCATGGTATGTCCAGGTTTTTTGTGAGTCAAGAACAATTAAATGAATTTGTGGATTATCAAATCTACTAAAGGTTTTTTTTTTAATCCACCTTTGGCTTTTTTTCTGCAGGATCAAAGAAGAATAAAGCTCAAATCTAACACATACGTCCTGCTAGTAATTTTTAAAGAATTTAAACTACTTTATAAAAACAGATATTTGATATTTGGATCACATATTTGGGGGGTGGGAGTGGAGAAGGCTATATTTTTTTGACTACTTCTCTCCCTTTGCTACATAAAGCCCCAAATTGGTTTTATCTTTGTTATTTTGGGGGGTGGGGGCAAGCACTACAAAAGAGACCAATTTGGGATATCAAGGAATGAAGAGGTTCCCCGTCAACGTTCCAATCTGGTTGCTGGGAAAGTCTGCAGGTCTGCAATGCTAATCCACACACTGACTAGGTGCAGTTTGTGCTGCCATATGCAATAACCTGCATCAATGACACTAGGCAACACAGAAGTAGAACTAGAAACGAGAACATGTAGCTTTCAAAAAAGCAAGAATATAATTAAAACTAAAATGTCCCCATTGAAGGCAGCATAATGTGCAATACCAGGCTACCAGGCAAATCTATACCAAAAATACACTTAATCTCTTTTGCTACATGTGATTGTGGCCCTTGAAAAAACCACACCGGTGACTACTTTGTCTTGTTGCAGGTGTCTAATACCACTGATGTGCTGTATTCCATCCTTCAATTTTCCCGGTTTCTTCACCAGCAGCATATGAGATTTTCATTTAGGAAATACCTTTCCTTATGGTATTTATTTAAAAAAATTCTTCACCAGCAGCATATGAGATTTTCATTTAGGAAATACCTTTCCTTATGGTATTTATTTTTTTTTAAAAAGGAGGTGCCTAAAGGAGGCTCAGCAGGTTTGCAGCTTCTACTGTCCTTACAGGGGGAGCGGAGCATGGCACCCCATTTGACACTCAGCTCCTCAACCATATTGGCCATTTGTTTCGGTGAGAACATTTAAAAATGTAGTAATTACACCAGGTTTCTTTCTGCTACTTCTCAAATTTCAGAAGTTCTTTCTCTCCAGTTCCCAGGTAGTTGCAGGGAGTGTGTGCGAAGGCATCACAGATGTCAATTTAAGGACTCAAAAGCCAACTGTCGGGCAGGCAGGCCTCCACCGCTGTCACGCATGTCCACTGCTGCACGGCCACACTTTTTCCTATTTTCTTCCCAGTAAGCTGCCTACTCTCAAGTTAAAAGCCATACGGCACACTTCCTAACCTGATTTCTGATACCTCAAAGGCCTGATGCTTTTTCCCTAACATGCCTATATAATGTGCCTTAGTGTAATAATATATGATACACTTGGAAATCATTGGTAGAAAGAGATAAAGTTCTTTCTAAGTTAAGGTTTCTCAGAGTCTTACTAGTAAATCAGGTGTTAGTGTCTGGTTAAACACAGGATAGCAATCCCGGACACTCTCCTTTCTAGTTCAGGGAAGGCTGTGCCTGGAACAGCCACCTAAAGCCTGCTTGCCTGAAGTGCTCAAGCTGCTATGTGGTATTCCAACCACTCCCTCTCCACAAAAAGTTTAGACACACCTGTTGCATTTAATACAATCTCACTGCATATTAGAGGGATCATTTTAAAGGCCTCCAGGTTGTTTTCGATGGACCATCTTGAAACTCTTGTTAGCCTTTACTGAGCATCAACTTGAGTTAGAAGTGAAGGCTGTGTCAACAATGTGGTACATGGTGGACTTGGGAGGGGGCATCCCAGAAACATAATGCAGGGTTCAAACTGGGTGAGAATAATGCAGATTCTGTCACGGCATCTTGAAACACTAATGTAATGCATCGGACCAGTGTTGCAAAACCACTAGGTGTCCCCAACAGAAGCAGGCAAACCTTGCTCTTTAGACAGAGGTATTTTACTGCAAATTTTTAGCCTGTTCACTAGGGTAAAATCCAAAAGGGGGCTGTGTTTAGACTAATTGTTTCCACTCATTATGCTTCAGCCTTGGTTCCTGGAGAGGGTGTCCTTGAAGACAGTCCTGCTTACCTTCAGTGACTTCTCGTGAGCATCCTGCTTGGAGTCCTGAAATGGACAGCAGTGACTCCACTGAAAAGCTCCTGCTGTTCTCGCCCATCGAGTCCATGAGGACTCACGGGATCCAGACTTATACTGGCCTTGCTGAGCTCAGAGCTGATTTCCATGGCATGGGCAAAATCGGCACTTTTCTTCTGCACAACACTAGAAGGAACATCATGGAGCACAGGATGGCTGTGTGTGCGGAATTTGTTTTAAATTGATGAAATCCCTTGGTTTTCTTCACAGGTAAGTAAAAATGAAGAGAAACAATATAAGAAAGCAGTACGATAAGCTTCTTGCTCACAAGCAACTTCTAGCCTTCTTAGTCATGTAAGTTACTTATCAGCTTTTCTCTTTTGCTTGTCTGATTTCTTCATTTTGGGAAAAAAAACCCAAAACAAACAAAAAACCCCCTGACCATATATTATCATATTCCTTTCTTATGAACCATCAGAAAAGGTGGTTAGCACCTGCATAAATATGGCTCCTGAAACTTCATCTGATCCTGACTGAGCATCCTTGATTCCCAAAGCTGATGCTACACTAGGATATATAGTACTGCTGTCATTAGCTGGGTCTATGACAGGAGTGTCCCTGAGGGAGCTAATGACTGCAGTTATATCGTGGGAAGACACTCAGACACCTGGCAAGTTCAAAGGTTCTACAACGGTGCTGGGGCAATGGGCAGGCCACACATGGCTGCTGGATGGGGAAGAGGTTTAAGATTTTGCTCATCTCCAGACTGTCCTCCACCAACGGGAAGAGAAAGTTTGTACCTCTCTTCCTTCAAGGCCTAAAACTGACCATCTCTGATCTATTCTCCCTTCATCCCCAGTCCTCTTTCTTTTCCTCTCACAAGATAGATTCAAAGAGTAGTGGCTTAAGGGAAAAATATCAGGGAGAGGTCCAAAGTGGCTTCCCTCTGTGTCTCAAGGGCCAAGGTCAGAAAAAGCTGCCCATGCGTGACACTCCACTCAAAGTTTAATATTAATGTGATCACCTTCTCTGTATTGTGATATAAGGAACTTTTTTTCTGCCCTTAAGATTTTCGATATCAAAGATGCCTGCTTCACCCTATCTCACATGCCTGCCAGCCAAGGTCGGGATAAAAGGCTGCAAGTGGCATTTGCTCTCCTGTCTGGAAACTGCCTCCTGGGGGTGGTGGGAGAGGTCCAACCACAAAGTCCCAGAACATGATGTAGAACTCAGCAGCACATCAGCAAGCCATTGCCCATTCACAACTGCTCTGAATCATGAAATGTGCTCTGCCACCGGGTCGCCTGTCCAAGTGGGTGCTCTAACCCCGCAGCTGACCCTGCTTGGGTATTATAGCATCTTTTGGGAGGTGCGGTGCAGAATCTCTGCTGGCCCAGGAAACCACAATGAATTGACATAAAAATAAGCATTCTTTCCTATCCGTTACATACACAACAACAACAACAAAATCTTTTCCCTAATCTGGGAAATGCATAGTCTTAGACCTTTTTAAAAATAGTTTTGGTAAATTCCAACATTTTTGGTGAGAAAGATGTTGCAGGATCTTGCTGCAATGAGATCAAAATTAAGACCAATAATCAAAACAGCAATGTGTAAAAACCAAGCTCGAATTCTCCCAAGACAATTATTGTGAAAGATCCTTCTCTTCTTCTACGAGGTTGTAACAAGGTTACACATATCAAGCCTGGGTTAGAAAGCTTGAAATCTCAGCTTTTAAAAAAGTTTGGAAAATCTTGGTCTTTCTTCTGGCCTTAATAACGGAACAGACTTTGAGAAACAATGATCTCTATGAGAAACAGTTATCGAATATTCCTACAATGTTCCCTTAAATAGCTTTTCATTGTTCCTGTGGCTTAATAAGGGACTTCTTAAAGAAGGCACAAGGTGCTCTCTGCAGATGACCTCAGAAAGAGATGAGCAAAACAAACATCGAGTAACATATCTTTCAAGAACTTTCTTCAGCACTGTTGTTGCAAAGGAGCATGCAAGGTACCATGTCTTCACTGTCATCGTTTCGTGTCTGTCTTACTTGGTGGTCACGCTGGCTTCTTTCTGACGCAGTCTTTCTTTCTGTTGTTTAAGGGGAAAAAAATAATCATTTCTTTCATTTTTCATCTTTCTCACATTTGTCTAGAATGCTGGGTAGAATTGTACCATACACCCTAGAAAATGAGAGCATTGCTATCCCTCTTTCCCTAAACCCTCAGTTACCAGCCCCTCCCAATATATCACCCTTCCTTCCCAAAAAACAAACAAAAAATGAACAACCAGCCAGTCAACTGACTATATCCATCTAGAACATCAATACCATACAAGGCTGGTCTGCTCTGTTCCTTCTTTTGTGACAAAGACCCTGACTTTGTAGTGTTATTCAAAGACTTCTCAATCACCCTTCCTTCCCAAAAAACAAACAAAAAATGAACAACCAGCCAGTCAACTGACTATATTCATCTAGAACATCAATACCATACAAGGCTGGTCTGCTCTGTTCCTTCTTTTGTGACAAAGACCCTGACTTTGTGGTGTTATTCAAAGACTTCTCGTATCCCCACACTTGGCCCACTGATGGAATTAGGGAATACTCAAGAAATAGTTTTTCAATAGTCTAGATATGAAAAACCATCATTGTTTCCAAGTGCAATGTATCTACAAATGACCAAACCTGGCAGAACTGAACAAAGGCTGTGCAAAATGGAAGACGAGCACATTTAGTCAGTGCAGAATGGCAAAGCTCTCATCCTGCCATGGTGTCCTGCACTGTGCTCCCCATCCTGCCTCGGTGTCCTGCACTGTGCCCCCTGTACTCTGTCCCCAGTGATAGCCTTCTACAGGGGAAGGGTGCAGAAGTCTGCTGGGAACACAGAAAAATAAACAAGAGCACACAGAAGAGAAACATGGATGCTCACTCTTGCCGTGACTCTAGAGAAGCAAGTACATTAAGCACGGTAAGAGTAAGTATGTCTGCTCCTAGGGGAGGGCAAATAGAAGGCTAAAAAGGAAAAGGGAAAAGCACACTCATTTGGAAAGAGCAGATGCAGAGAGAATCCCTTTGAGAACTGATCCTTAGCTGCCTGTGATCTATGAGATGTGATGTTGCAGTGAATTACAAAATTGGCCTAGATATAAACTTAAGTGATGATTTTTATACACCCATCCTGAGTTTGGCCTCCATCTCTGAATTGTGTGATTGAATCAAAAATGAGTTTACAAGTTCTGCTGTGATTTCCACTCACTTACACAAACAAACAACAAAAGAAACAACCCTAACAAGTTAAGGCTCGCAATTAGGAGCTTGCTCACAGTGAAAGTCAACCTACAAAAGATGCCATGGTAAACGCACTGTTTCCCCTCTGTCTACCAGGCTGACCCATTCTCTCTGTCGCAGGGGAATAGGTTCAGTTGCAAAAATCAGCACAGAGGTTCAAATAAGAGGACTGGAGAAAGGCGTAGAGGCTGACAAATGAGGAAGATAAAAATCAGGGGTGATCCCACTGCCACTGAAAATCATACAAATGAGTGTAATGAATGTACCAGCAAATGGGCCAGAGGATGTGTCCCTTCAGGTAGGGGGTATGTGCACTAACCATGGCTTTGCCTGACCGAGCTATGTGGCACTGATTTCTCCATTTCTCAATCATCAACCTCATGTGACATTCACTCAGCATGGTTGTTCAACATAAATAATCTCACTTTATAACTCAGGCCCCACTTAGATCTTCACAGGATTTAAAGCAGCTGCCAAAAAAATACTTATAATATGAAAGGATAAAATAAGCAGCTAGGGGAGATCAGGGCCCGGAGAAGGTAGGGTTGGAGCATCAAAGTGAGGACAGCAATACCCCACCTGCCACTCACTGCAGCTCAGCCAAGCAGATGGGATTCACAGTAGCAAGGAAAACAGCCAACCCTTACTGAGCTCTTATAATGCACTAGGTACTTTTACATGTTTCTTCCCAGTTTCCTCTAAACAACCCTAAAGCAAAGACAATATCATTTCCCTCTTTTCAATGAAGAGAAGGAAGCAAAGTAACTTCCCTAAGGTTTTACAACTATTAAGTGGCAGAGCTGGGATTTTAGCCCAGGCAGTTTCATCCACAACTTTCTGGGTTCTTAACCATTCAGCTGTGCTGACTATTGTCTGTAACACAAAGGTGGAGATTCACTGTGCTCCCTACTGAAAACTGGACTCTGCAGGACAACTTTCTCTCAGGCCTAGGAAGACTGAGTAGACTGCCGCTTTCTGGCACAGGGAGGGATGTCAGGGGACCCAGAATCTGGTTCCGGTTTTTGTCATCCATTTGCCAAGTGACCCTAGGTAGGCTGCACCTTTCTGCATCTCAATTTTCCCAACTATCAAAATAGGATAATCCCTGCCCCTTTCTTTAATATGGAAAAGGAACTGATGAGGTTGAGTATACTTGAACATTTCAGGAGAAAGGCACTTTGAGATAAAGGGGATCCTGGTGTGGGTGGGGTGTGGAAGGTTGTGAAACGGCAAGTGACTGAACCTGGTTTATCAGTAATGACCTCTGTTGAGTTTGCAGGGAAAACATAAGAAGCCACGGTTTGATCCTCCACCCCTACGTATTCTTTTTTTTTTTTTTTTTTTTTTTTT